GAAAATAAAATAAAAAAGCCTTTGCCATGAAAAAAGATCTTCTTTCAATGCGCAGTAGGGAACGCAACGTTTACCGGCAGCCAGACGGGCCGCATGCTGTTTCTAGATAGCATAGTAAAAGATATATCAAAGTGCCAGATGTCTCAAAATACTTGTTTTTCCGATGTTGCTAACTCTCGTACTATAGACTCTCCTAGACATGTGAACACTGCCTCAAGACTTAGTCTGCCGATAGGGTCATCATCATCATCATCATTTTCAGCTTATTCAACCATTTCCAATTGGATAATGCTAATCGAAAATGACCCAAGCGTCAAACTGTGATTTTGAGATATTGCCTTCTAACGTTTAGCGAGCTCTATCTCTCTTTGTTGAGCTATCAAGAAAAATGTAATTTATGACAAAATTGATTTAAGATGAGTACAAGAACAAATTGACAAAACATAGCTTCAAACTTTACACATTTTAATAAACATTTGGCGCATAATTCTTTTTTAAGAAATACCGGAGTACTGTTATTAATTTTAAAAAAGAACCAAGTTCTTGGTTACTTGTAACCAAAAAGAAAATCTACAACATGGTTTACGGTGTTTTCTATTGCAGATTTGTTTCTCTGTTTGTTCTGTAGAATAGAAGTCTCCTTTGTCCATTGTTTCGAAAATTATATTTCCCCAAGCAGCCAACACAATACTTTTAGATCTTTTACTAATTCCTATGTTTACCCTTGTTTTAGGCTAATACCTTTCTTTTTTATAATAGTTTTGTAGTTTTAATATGAAAAGCACGCGGCTAAGCAACCATTTAAAGAGAATCAACAGAAAACGGATATACATATAAAAGGAATTGTCGCTTGTAACAGTGCCTTCTATTAAAAGATCAGCCCTACGGGCGAGATTTATGACGTCACGCTAGTTAGATATAACGGATTAATAAATATGTTGTAGAATACATGGAAAACATAATTATTCCTCAGATTTTTGGTTTGCATTTTAAAAATGATATAGTTTACATGAAATATACATAATATACAGTTAATAACTACAACATATATACCTATTTATAGTAATAAATATTTTGGCAAATAAACTATGAACCATACAAATGCAGCAAATGTTTTACAATGTACAAATAATGTATACGTACATAAGATAATGGGTAAAATGTAAATATATTTTAAATTTTGGCGTTTGAAAATCGATCTAATTTAACAAAAAAACATTCAGTATCTACTAATAGTGATGTATTATTATTTGCATTCACAAAATTTATATGTATATTTTGCTAGTATCAATGTTCGAAAAATTATATTTACAAATAATACAATATTATCTAAAAAAAGGCGTCAGCGATGGCTATGAAATGAAGATCGCTGGCATTTTATATGTAAAATTATTCTAAAATTTTTGATTTTCTTGGGATTTTTAGGTTCGGGAAAAACGCTGATTTAAGTTTTAATTTGGGTTTTCATTATTTTTATTTGGTTTAAAAAAACGTTTCGGTTAACTATAGCCTTCATCAGTGTTGTGTCATAGGAGAAAAATAGTGTCGAATATAATCCAAAAAATTACATATACAATATAATTCACACCTCATAATGTTTACTGCAATTAATAAACTAATATAAACTTATCAAAAGATGACCACATATTTTTTAAAATTATTATTCTTAACACTAAAATTATCTACATTCACTATGGAGTACGCAGTAAACATTATGTGTGTGGTGTGAATATTTTATATGTAATTTTTTGGATTATATTCGACACTATTTTTTTCATATGATACAACACTGATGAAGGCTATAATGTTAGCCGAAACGTTTTTTTTTAAACCAAATAAAAATAACGAAAAACCAAATGAAAACGTAATCAGCGTTTTTCCCGAACCTAAATCGCAAGAAAATCAAAAAATTTAGAATATTTAGAAACAAGGTTCAAGAATATCAAATTTTCCAAGATTGTAAAATTCTAGTTAATTATTTTGTGTACAGTTATTTAGGGAATGTCATCGATGTTCATTTCCAAGCCAACTAGACGCCGATTTTTTTCGATGATACGGTATAATTCTTACATAAAATGTAAATAACATTAGACCAATTAATACAAAGAAATATGAATTTCTTAGAATTTTTAGTAACACCTTTATTCTTAAAACTTAATTTTGTATTATGCAAATATACCAATTTTATTGTTATTTTATTCATATTGTATTCAGCCATCACTTAAATATTTGATATTAATTTGGTATTATAAATAATCAACACTATTCATTAAAAATTACTGAACAAATATATGTTATGCTTGACATACATTATATATATATACTTTACAATAATCTTTTTTAAAATTTGAACTCAAAATAATAATCTTTTTCATGATCTCTAATACATATATTCTTTATTTTTCCCTAGATCATAATACCAACTTACGTGTTTGAATCTATCGAAGCTGAACCAACAACACTTGGAGTGGAGATTCCACAATATGAATAAAATAAACATAATTGTCCAGTTTTCATTAATACCATCATGGGAGAATATTATTTTTAAATTTATTAAAGATATTTTCAATAGAATTCTCTTGATTTATAACTCGTACCCACTTTTCTTGCTCTTCTGGACACTTTAGGCTGCCTAGTATAACTATCCTTTCCACCAGGAACACAACAAAGATGAGGCATAGCACCAAAAACACACTCCACTTAAGCTTTATTGATGAATTGTTAGAGTCTTAAAAAACACACACAAAAATCACGATAAGTAAAAAATGTATGGGCACTTTTAGGTTAAATCACTTACACAACGTGTAATTTTTCTATTTTTTTATGCGAAACCGAGAGTGACCATATATCTGGTAGTAGTTTATGTCACTTAAACACCAAAATAATTAGTTTTTTGCACTACAATAATAAATAATACCAAAAATCAAAGAGTTAAAACCAAAAATCAACCGACAAAATATGAAACGGAATCTAACCCAATATCTAAGTATGTACAGCTGATGAAGTAAACAAAAGTCCGCCCCCAGGCTGATCTTTTAAAGAACGGCAGTGCTTGTAAGCTTGTATCCTTCTAGACAAATTCAAAAGACTCTTACACAGTGGTGGTGCTTAGGACCCTGTTCAATAGATGACACTGAAACACCTAATTGTAGCGTGGATCTTTTTCCACATATACACTGAACACTGCTCTGCCTTTTTCTCAGTTTTTGTAATTTGGCGCTTGGTTCCTTTTCGTTTAACATCATCCAATTATGGTGTGGCCTCCCTCACGTAGGTACTCTCTTTGTAGTTGGGCCCATTGTTGTCTATTGTTGGCTAGGCGGGTCAAAGTTATCCCTGCTAATTTCCTAATATCATGGTCCTAATATCATACCCTTAATAGGTTTTCCTAATATCATACCCTTTCAAAAATATTGAGCACTTTTTATTTTGAAAGAATTCACACAAAATGTCTATTTTCTTCTCTTCTTCTTGTTTTATGATGGCTCTGCTACAAGGCAACCGCCGCGCCAGCTCAATTTGAGAGTGACCAAGATGTCGACTGGCTCTAAACCATATCAAGGCCAATGATTCTTATCTGATTAAATGTATAATATTTTGGCAGATGCATAGGAAAACTAGTTTAACCCATAAAATAATAAATACAAGAAGAAGTGTCAAGTCAATGTTAAATTATGGAAACAGCGTGGCTGCCTGGGTAACTAATTTTCAGATATGGCGGCTGGGACAATTGACATGATATAGACATGACAATTTCAATTTTATGAAATTTATTTCCGTTTCCGGTTTTTAATGGCGGGCTGTTCAGCAGGTTTAAATGAGGGTTAATATACTTTTTACTCTTTCTAGTAGTAAATAATACAACAAAATTACTCAAAAATATTTATTTGGAATTTAGAACAATGTAAATATGCAAATCAACACAATTAAAGAGCTATAAACCAATAAACTACTGTATCAATATCGAATATTTAAATAATATCAGAGATGCTGTGTTAAAGTGAATTAGTAAAGTAACAGTGCATTGACTTACAGAAACTTGAAGATACATAAATGTTTTCACAGCTTCACGGGCATAAAACTAAATAACTGGAAGCAGGAAAAAGGCAACCGGAACCCACACAAAACCTGGAATCAAAAAAAATATGTAAAAAACATAAATATAGGTACATAAGACTTTTGTGAATTAAATCAAACAGGACTTGAATGAAAATAAAATGAATAAAAAATATGATACATATACATCTAATACCTCATTTGTATTTTAAAAATAATCTACATACATAGATTTATAGCATTATTGCTATGAAAATACATAATAGAATAATAATAATTGCTATGAAAATACATCACCTATGTGATATGTAATTACGCATTTCTGTTCATCTTGTAGAAAATTAATGTAGGCTAATCATAGTTCAATAATCATAATTTACCTTGTATAACTTGCTTTCAATTGCTCAAAATTACCGATCAGTCTTTAAAGTAGAGATACGGAAAAATCCTTGGCAAAGAATATCCCAAGATCCTTGGGTTTAAAGCTAAAAAAATATAAAACAGTTAATATATTACCTATTTTTACATATAATATGGCCCATACCTACTACACGCAGAAACGTCGATTTCATAATTTTCTTCATGTAATTAATATCATATATACTTTATTAAAGTGTTAACAAGGAACTTTATATCAAAAAACATCTTTGTACTTATAAATTTCAGCCGAAATATCAGAAACAAACTTCCAATCGAATCTAAACGGCAAAAATTAAAATGGCGCCCGACCTTGCCAGAGGCCTCGGGAGCTGACGCTGACACACAGACAAAAGACAAAAAGACAAAATGTTCCGTAGCAGAAATTGACAGAAATCATATAGAAATATTCAGATTTTTGTCTAGGACAGTCTAGAAGGCCATGCTTTCTGCCTGGGTAGAACCGCGCCACAACTGTTTCCAATTTTCCAGTTTACTATCACCCCCCTGGTTTAACCTGTTTGGCAAACGTCAATGTCAGTCCAAGACTAAAATACGATGACATAACTTATTTCTTGCTGTTTTTACTCTGGTAAAATTTCAAAATTCTCCGAAATATTATCCTAATGTGCTGATAACTTGAAAGTTCTGTGATTTTTTTGTGTGTTTGTGTAAATTTTTCGTGTGAATTATGGGTTTCGCTTACGGTTTGGTGGAATGTGCAGCTTTGTCCTCTTTGATTTTTGTGGAGAAACAGAAACAGACAGATGTATGGAGTTTCATGGACGAATTTACTAATATGTTTAAGAATCGCATGCGGTGGGCGACGTCATTCAAATTCAACTCACAATCACAATGGTAAGTGCCTTAAGAGTTCATTTTACTAGTTTACGAAAAAAAAATCACTACTAGTACAAAAAAGTAGCAAAATAAGCGTAGTATGTATTTTTACACAAATGAAGAAGGAAATTAAAGATAAAGGATTATACTATATCGGTATTGTAGCACATTTTTAGACAACTTCTTTATTTTTAAGATTTTGATGGTTAAACATCAACAAAATATTGCTTATGTTTGGACTAAATTTTCTCGAAAATAAAGACATAATTTAAAATTCCGTTACAATACGGAAATAGATTGAAGTTTTGTGATTACAGTGATATATAATTTATATGGTTTTGTAACGAATTGTTCGCTATTTTATGGCAAATGCTGAAGCTCTGTAAACCTTAATCAAGCCTTAATCAAAGCACGTGCGTTTGGAATTTTGGACGTGGTGTAACACGACAGGATCGAGTTAAGTCTTTCAGCAGATTTCTGAAATATAATATACAGGGTGTCCCAGAAATAAGTGCAAATATTTTAACTGGTAGTATAGTTCAACCCCAGAAACACGCCTATGAGATTTTTTTTGCGAAAAAAAAATGTTGACAATTTAACATTTTTCTTGACATTTTCCGGGAAATTTGAAAAAACTTTTTAGTGCCACTTGTTTATTCACCTGAGATTTCACTACGGTCTATCTAAACCTTGCAGTGTTGCAACCTCCTATGTTATCCACATTCTACATAGTTCGGCGGAACATAGTTCTACATTTATAAATTCATAGACAAATTTCTATTCAAAAAATTAGGATGTTAAATTTAATCTTTTATCAGTGCTCATTATTAATAATTATAGAAAAAAAATCACATTAATTATTTTTAGTACTTGCCCTTTCAATGAAAACTTAACAAAAACCACCGAAAATTAACTAAAACATTACGTTTATGAAGTTTACGAAAATCTTTGTTATGCTGCAAAATAACTTTATTTTGGAATAAATTTAATAAAATGATTCATATTATTCACAATCAGGTCACAAAAAGAAATTCCTAAAATGTTTATCGTAATTTAGAATTCAATTCAAGAAATTTAGAAAACAGCCTAACGAATAATCGATTCGTTTTTGTTTTGTTTGTTTTCTTTCATGTTTCTCTGTTTTATTTGAACCTCTGTTTTACAAAACACCTTGAAAAGCGCACATTACTTTGAATACCTTTCTGAATGAATAAATGTTGAGAATTATTGTCTCTTATCGCCAGTTTACGAACTACTTTCAATCTAATAAAATACATGTTTCACTCAACGATTATTGACAACCTATTTTGTTTTTTCCCTATTTTTTCGATGTATTTCGACAATTCCATCGACAGCCTAACCGTCAACCAAGAACTGCCGCGTGTAAACTGGTCCTTTGAGTCGACGGTCGCCGCGCCGTTGTGGCGGGCTTGCGTCAGACGACGATGTTAAGCAACGTTGCCGTAGTTACAACAATTTCAAATTCAGGACATTCGAAGCAATCAAATTCGTATTAAATTTTAAAAATAAAACAGAGAAACATGAAAGGAAATAAACAAAACAAAAATGAATTGATTATCCGTCGGGCTGTTTTCGATGTATTGAATTCTGAATTACGATAAACGTTTTAGAAATTTCTTTTTTGTGACCTTATCAATAACCAATTCATTTGTGTTTTGTTTGTTTTCTTTCATATTTTTCTATTTTATTTTTAAAATTTAATAAGAATTTGATTGCTTCGAGTGTCTTGAATTGGAAATTGTTGAAACTACGGCAACCTCGCATGACGCAAGCTCAATACGGCGGCGCGACAAAGGAGCAGTTACCAGTGATGCGCCGCTCTCTTGGCCGACGGCCGACGCGACTGTTGCGCTGTCGATGGAATTGTTGAAATACATAGAAAAAAAAGCAAAAAAACAAAATACGTATTTAAAATTGTTGAGTGAAACATGTATTTTCTTAGATTGAAAGTAGTTCGGAAAGTGGCGGTAAGAGACAATAATTCTCAACATTTATTCATTCAGAAAGGTATTCAAAGTAATGTGTGCTTTTCAAGGTGTTTTGTAAATCAGTAGTTCAAATTGTGATGAGGCTTATATGAAAATAATGTGTTAAAAATGGGGACTGTTATTTTAGTAGTTATTATAATAGCATGTACAAGTAAAGCAGCACAGTGAAGTGTATTTTAGTTAAGTGTATATCGAAAAAGAGAACTGTCACAGTTACATCGATCTGTCATAAGTATATTTTTTAATGTTGGGTAAGTTTTTTAATTTAACTTTTTTAACACATTTTTTAACACATTATTAAAAATTTAACTTTTAATTTATTTTATGTAATAATATCACAATCTTAAAAATGTAATGCATCTCTGCAAACTCCTCAGGTGTGTTGTGATTTTATGACTTACTTTTAAGATATACTTTCTTGTCCCTATGGCAACACAGTGCGTCGAATTAACTGAAATCCGGGCTTGATCCGGGCAATTGGATGTAGTTTGCGATATCTGCCGGCGGTTCTCAAAATGTTGCGATTATTTTTTTAAATTTTCAAAGTTAAATAACTCGGTTATTTTCAATTTAATTTAAAAATGGTAAAGAGAAAATATGTTTATTTTGACCAGATCTACCACCCCTTAAAATATCTGCACTCATTTCTGGGACACCCTGTATAAGTACAGCGTAATAGACTCTTAAAATATTTCTATTTTTTTTTTGGTCAGGCATTATTAGGAGTCTAAATATCTTCTAATATATTTTTTTATTAATATTAAATTTTATTCTTGCATTTTTTGACTTTTCTAAGGCCCCTTGTATGTCACTAATTTATTTCGTTTATATTATTTCTGAAAATGTTTATAATATTTCTGAATAATTAATAAAATTAACGTTCGATAATAATTAATCGCAATATTTAATAATATATAATTATTGAAATTATGCAGATTCGATTTTAGAAAAAAAATATTTTATTATTAATAAATATCCCTAATTAAACGAGAGAAGAATATTTAATGTGAATCCATTGTTATTAAAAGTACTAATAATATCAATTAGTTATGGACAATGAAATAATTTCGATATTTAGATACACAGTAGTTTGATTAAAGTGGGCTAAATGTGTTACTTTTAAACAGTTGAGACTGTTACTGTTATCTGTTGGAAAATAACAGCTTAAAATAACAAGTTTCGGTTAGTTATTTGTATTAGATTATTTTTAGTCTGAAATATTTCGAGGTGTGAGCCATCTCTGTCGGTAGAGTCGGTGTGATGTTATTTCATACCTGTTACTTTCGGAAAAACTGTTATCCCAACAAATGCTGCAAATATAATTTCGAAAATGGTGGTAAATATGTCGAGTTCACTTTACAAGCCATCGTTGTCAATTCATTGGCATTTTCACCACTGTTACTGGAAGTAACAACAACTGTTACGAACTTTTATTTATAAATAACAGTGGTAAAATAATAGGTATTTATGAAATTTCTTGTAAAGATTGTAATCAGAAATATGTTGGGCAAACTAGAAGATCAATTTTAACCAGATTTAAATTTAAAGAAAATTTAGCTCAGATAAGATATGGTAGACCGGATAAATCTTGCGTTGCTGAACATATTCTTGATAAAGAACATTGTATAGATCTTAATAATTTAAAATTAGTTAAACAAGTCTCAAATTACAGGCAATTAGATGCACATGAAAGCATCAGAATTAATAAATGTAAATATAGTATGAACAGAGACAACGGTCCAATTCCTTCAAGTTCTTTGTTCCTACTACTCTAGTGGCGGAAATCTAACTGTTACGCTCGGTAGGCTTTGACTCGGTTGGCTAGATCTTGCCACGCCCACTCGGTGCCCACCGAGCGAGTAAATAAACGCTCAAATTGTAGATTGTAGTTTAGTTTTTAATCATCTGCTGATGATGCTAATATGGTTAGCGAAACGCGCGTCCAGTGTAAAAGTAAAAGTGTTTTGGTGTATTGTGGGATTTAGTGTGTTATTTTGAGGTATTTTTTACATTTCATTCAAATAGTATAATAAATATTTTATTGTTAGGTGAAACAAAAAAGGGAATACTTACATTATTCCTTGAATTTATATCTACAGGTTCCTTTAGTATTTTCTTAACACCTTCCGTGTCATTCTTGATTACTGCCTCGTGCAGCAACAGATCGTTTCTTTGTATGACAGCTCTCCTTTCGAGCTCTTCTGGAGTAGAGGTTGGCGAGGGACAAGTTCCTCGATTTGGACAGCTTATGTACTGAATGTGGTTAGACATTGTTTTATTCACCTGAAAAGGCAAAATTGTCTTGAATAATAATTACACCATGTTTAAAAAATATAAATCTACCATTTAGATATCAAGGAAGATCTAAACAAGGGCGTTAAAGAACCTCTAAATTAGTGGTGTCAATTAGCGTAGAAGTTTGTTCCTCTAATTTCAATGTAAGCATTAAAGACGTCAAAATTAGTGGTAATAATTCCCTATTGGTAGAAAAAGTTAACAAACTTTTAACAATTTCAACTGTATTATACTTTTTGGTCTTTGATTATCATCTGTCAACAAAAATTGTGGTTAGAAATTAAAATTTTATTATTTTGTAAGCTAACTATTAGGCATTCAGGCATTCTTTATGGATACAACTGACTACACTGTAAGCTGGTGCTAGGAGATTAATTTTATAATTGTGAATGATCGTAAACTCATAAGTATAAAGTATAATTATTGAAACTACTAATTTTGAGGTTTCGAATGAGGCAAAGTATTTTAACTACTAGAATATCTTGCCTAGCAATTGCCAAGTCATTATAATTAATTATTATTATAGAAATAAAGATGTCGAATATTGATTGATAAGGTCACTATTACAGGTAACTGTTGATAGGTAACTGATTAAGGGCAAAGGCCCAGCTACGTCGCTACGTCGTCCATTAGAACACCAAAGTTAAGCGACGTAAGGCGATACTAGTGGATGGACGGGTGACCGGTTCGAAACTCTGTATTGTGTTGTTGTCCAATAAAGGCAAAAGTGTAAAATCTATAGACACACACTGCTCATTCACGCCGGTTCGAGGCCGGATGAGATCAGATATCTCCTGAGTAAGAGTCGATTTAGACACTTGCCCAGTCGGTAGGCCATTGACCATTATATGGCCGAGGACCGCGGTTCGGATTCCGCGTAAACAAAGTACGCCCCGTCAAGATTAGCCCTGGCAGCAAAAAGGAGACGTTAACTGAAATCTTTTTAATTGATTAGCTAACAGTTTATAACAAAGTTGTTGAATAGGTGCTTCTATACAGGGTGATTCAAAGCCATGCATACATCCTGCTCCATCTGTCTAAATTATTTTCAGCATTACAGTGTTGCCGTATCATTCGAAAAGTTTAGCATCTTTCTTATTTTAAACGGAACACCCAGTATACTAAGGGCTGGTAAAGGTTAGTCTTGGGTCGAGATTTCCGTACGTAAGAAGAGCACAATGCGTTTATAATGTACTGAACAAAGAGAGGACAGTAAACACGTTGCCAAACGTATGAAATAAACCGAGAAACTGTGCACATCGCTAAGAGACGTGGAAAGGGATATAGCAGATTTGTCGCAGTTGACCGGTCGACCCAATCAATACCTCTGTCAGTACTTAAAGTTCTAGGGAAAGGTGTACGTCATGCGTTCAGCTTCACGATTTAATTACGTCTCGTGATACTTGATTTGTTTATTTATTAACGACTCGTTGTAATTTTCCCTATAGCTTGAATTTTTCTAAGTGCAAGCTAGAAACACTTGCATTTTTGGTAAAAATAAGTGGAATTAAGTGGGTGTTCGATAGTGGTCGCGCTATTAGAACTCTGAATTCAAAAATCGATATCTCGAAATCTATTAGAAATAATAGATTGTAGTTTTTTCAAGAACTTTGTTAATATTTCTGCTGTATTTTCTTTGTAGACAGTATGTGAAAATCTTTATCAAAAAAAAATTACACGATTGCTGAAAATTGCTATGCTCTAAAAGTAAATGGATGGATTGTTTACAATTTTTGAATGGAAAAAACAACCTTATCGAATTTTTCTTATGTAAACATATTGTAAAGTATCCGATCTTGAAAATAAAAAAAAGTTTCAACATCTAAAGTGGTTCTTGAGTTATGGCCTGTTATGTGTTCTGACGTTTTCTCGTTATAAAAAAGATGACACCTTAACGATATCCTTATAATTCCATTTCAGATGCTCAGAAACATTACAAACCTAATGATTTTATCTAGTTATCTCTTGAAAAAAAGTCTTTTAAAAATAAGCGGTTTGCGATCGTGATTTTACTTTACTTGATAGGGAAAGGCGTATCGGCAACGCCGCAACAGCAAGTCGGTCGGTCGCATTTCTCTCACTCTGACTTAATAAGATCTCTATGCGATTTACTTCCACACATGTAAATGCCGACCAAAAATAACAGTTGCCAGCATGGTATTAGTACATTTATGGAAACTACTTTCACGTCTCATAATTTTTATATTATACTAACCTATAGGTACCTATCTAATAGTTTTTAGATAAAAAATAATATCGTCGTCAATCACCCTATAGATACTAACTAAAATTGTCTTGATTTTACATGGAATCTCACAAATTTCTGTAGTGGAAGAACTGCCTTACAAGCTTCGTATAGACGAAGGTTGCAAGACTTGTAATTTTTTTCAATTTTATGTTTTGTCTATAATGGAAAATTGAATTGTTAATGGAACAAATTGAATTGTTAATGGAAAATTGTCGTTTTGGGGAAAACAGATAAACTATCCATTGTAAATCGGTTTTCAAATAATGAATATGTTCCTTGATGGGACATTTTCCTATATGATTTATTTATTAGCATTTATCGATTTTGTTGAGTGATTTGATATAAATACATGTAATTTAATACATATAAATAATTTATTTTTAACTCAACAATTCCATCTGGTAATTCATATTAAATTAATGGTTACAATAGAACTCTCAGAATTAAATGAATAAATTAATATTTTATTTATAAAATCGCCGATTTTGTTGAGATACTAAATCTCGTTTTTTTATCTCCAAAATAAAAAAAAAGGTATGAGGGTGAGTTACTAATGAAAAACAATCGGTATATAATATATAATGTTTTATTTTTAAAATGTGTGTACTGTAAATATTTGTTAAAAAAATATAAAAAAGGTAGAACGAATACAGTAAATAATAAAGTCTATTTAAGTTGGAGTTATTGTTTCGTTTCGAAGAGTGATCCCCAGAGGCATCCGAAAAGTTATAGAGGAAATTCAATTTCCGTTACAAAATCAATTTTTATTAATCGATCACGTCTCTCTTAGTTTCGCTCGACACAATAACTTTTATTGGAGATATTTCTGTATTATTTATAGTTCCTTTTTTGTTTTTCTCATTTGTGAAAACTTTCGTTTGATTCGTTTAAGTATGGCATGGCGTATAAGAACTTTTGAAAGTATCTGAGAACGGTAGAGTTCAATACTTTAGGGGTGCACAAAAAAATTGCCACGCGATAACGCCTAAAATAACTATTTTGGGGCTACCGAGTCCTTAGCCTAAGGCAGTAAATCAAAGGATCTTACTATAATCGTTGATTGAAAGAATTGGGAAGATACGCAACCCAATTGGCGAATATGTGACAAGGCTGCTTTGATATCCCCTTACGTCTCAAGTGCTGTACAGTGGAGACACCAATCGTTCTGCGGTCAACGCATAAAACACATTGTTTTCTCTAATTCGGCTAGCGAAGGCATATTGAAGACGGTGTGGAACTAAAAGCGACAGTGTTGCCATATTAAATATATATATACATATGAGCAGTGCCTTCCATAAAATACGAAATAATATACATGTACTGATTTCTCTCGAAAATCGACAACTATGAAACTATGATCCCTTCCTGGACACAAACGGTACATTGTGAAACAGGGAATTGTAGAGAGAAACAAGCCCTATAATATGGGATACAACATTTTAATGAACAGTGCTTTCCATAAAATGAATAAAATGAAAAATATACGAAATAATATACATGTACTGATTTCTCTCGAAAATCGACAACTATGAAACTATGATCCCTTCCTGGACACAAACGGTACATTGTGAAACAGGGAATTGTAGAGAGAAACAAGCCCTATAATATGGGATACAACATTTTAATGAACAGTGCTTTCCATAAAATGAATAAAATGAAAATATACGAAATAATATACATGTACTGATTTCTCTCGAAAATCGACAACTATGAAACTATGATCCCTTCCTGGACACAAACGGTACATTGTGAAACAGGGAATTGTAGAGAGAAACAAGCCCTATAATATGGGATACAACATTTTAATGAACAGTGCTTTCCATAAAATGAATAAAATGAAAAATATACGAAATAATATACATGTACTGATTTCTCTCGAAAATCGACAACTATGAAACTATGATCCCTTCCTGGACACAAACGGTACATTGTGAAACAGGGAATTGTAGAGAGAAACAAGCCCTATAATATGGGATACAACATTTTAATGAACAGTGCTTTCCATAAAATGAATAAAATGAAAAATATACGAAATAATATACATGTACTGATTTCTTTCGAAAATCGACAACTATGAAACTATGAACCCTTCCTGGACACAAACGGTACATTGTGAGACAGGAAATTGTAGAGAGAAACAAGCCCTATAACATAGGATACAACATTTTAATGAACAGTGCTTTCCATAAAATCAATAAAATAAAAAATATACGAAATAAAATAAATGTACTCATTTCTTTCGAAAATCGACAACTATGAAAATATGAACCCTTTCTGGACACAAACGGTACATTGTGAGATAGGAAATTGTAGAGAGAAACAAGCCCTATAACATAGGATACAACATTTTAATGAACAGTGCTTTCCATAAAATCAATAAAATGAAAAATATACGAAATGAAATAAATGTACCGATTTCTTTCGAAAATCGACAACTATGAAAATATGAACCCTTCCTGGACACAAACGGTACGTTGTTAGACAGGAAATTGTAGAGAGAAACAAGCCCTATAACATAGGATACAACATTTTAATGAACAGTGCTTTCCATAAAATCAATAAAATGAAAAATATACGAAATAAAATAAATGTACTCATTTCTTTCGAAAATCGACAACTATGAAAATATGAACCCTTTCTGGACACAAACGGTACATTGTGAGACAGGAAATTGTAGAGAGAAACAAGCCCTATAACATAGGATACAACATTTTAATGAACAGTGCTTTCCATAAAATCAATAAAATGAAAAATATACGAAATGAGATAAATGTACCGATTTCTTTCGAAAATCGACATCTATGAAAATATGAACCCTTCCTGGACACAAACGGTACATTGTGAGACAGGAAATTGTAGAGAGAAACAAGCCCTGTAACATAGGATACAACATTTTAATGAACAGTGCTTTCCATAAAATCAATAAAATGAAAAATATACGAAATAAAATAAATGTACTGATTTTTTTCGAAATTCGACAACTATGAAAATATGAACCCTTCCTGGACACAAACGGTACGTTGTGAGACAGGAAATTGTAGAGAGAAACAAGCCCTATAACATAGGATACAACATTTTAATGAACAGTGCTTTCCATAAAATCAATAAAATAAAAAATATACGAAATAAAATAAATGTACTCATTTCTTTCGAAAATCGACAACTATGAAAATATGAACCCTTTCTGGACACAAACGGTACATTGTGAGATAGGAAATTGTAGAGAGAAACAAGCCCTATAACATAGGATACAACATTTTAATGAACAGTGCTTTCCCTAAAATCAATAAAATAAAAAATATACGAAATGAGATAAATGTACCGATTTCTTTCGAAAATCGACATCTATGAAAATATGAACCCTTCCTGGACACAAACGGTACATTGTGAGACAGGAAATTGTAGAGAGAAACAAGCCCTGTAACATAGGATACAACATTTTAATGAACAGTGCTTTCCATAAAATCAATAAAATGAAAAATATACGAAATAAAATAAATGTACTGATTTTTTTCGAAATTCGACAACTATGAAAATATGAACCCTTCCTGGACACAAACGGTACATTGTGAGACAGGAAATTGTAGAGAGAAACAAGCCCTCTAACATAGGATACACCATTTTAATGAACAGTGCTTTCCATAAAATTAATAAAATGAAAAATATACGAAATAATATACCAAAAAAAATGTCAAAATTTTCAAAAAAATCACAATCAATTAAAATTGAAGACGAGACAGATTTTACAGAAGCCGAATTTTTGAACGGCACAAACTAACGATTTCTATTTATATTTTACGATTTATTGGTTGAATTTAGCCAATTTGCGTAAATTATCTGAGAGACACTCGATACTAGAGTATGGATGAAAAAAAGCAGCAAGAAAACTTACCTATGTCCGGTTTTCAGGATTGACGCTCCTATATACACAAATATCACGTTTCTACAGTGCGTTCAGCTTCACCTCTACGTTTTTGTTGCCATCCGTTTCCAAGATAGAGCCGGACCAGTATCCCACGCCATTTCACCACAGATAAAATGTGTTTCCTCTCGTTTGGTGATGCGATCAGCAACGTTAAAATCAATTTTGTTTGCGAATATGCCGCTCGAATTATTATCTGTGTCTCGCACACGTTGACGATTTACGAAAACCTGAAAAGAAGAGAAAAGAAAAATAAATACCTTTGTTGTATTTTTCGAGAATATTTTGAAGAAATCGTGTTTTTAGCCAAGCATAAAAAAATCATATGTAAGGGGAGTATGTAACAGTTGTGTACATAAAATGTAGGCAAAAAGGCGTTGCTTATACCAGAGAAAATAATAAAATATTTTTTTATATCATTGCTAATCCAACAAATATTCTCAATAGCTCCTAGAATAAAAAAACTTGAGAATTTTGTTTAAGTGCGAACCTAAAGTATGTACCGGGATGATTTATTTTAAATGGAACACCCTGTATATTATTGCATTTTTGGCTTTCTTTCTGATCACTTTACACAATCCTAAGATTTGAGTAAATATATTTCTGTAGTTTCAGAGATATTAATAAATAAATAAAAAATATATATTTTTCAGCCTTTTGAAAAAAATTATTGAAAATACAAGAACTGTCTTGAAATCAAATCTTTATTAGGTTTTTTTGGTGGGCGGTATGTTGGATTCTATCCCTTCCTCCCATCCTTTACCCTAAACAAACCTAAGTGGGTGTACGTACTCAGCGAGAAGCAGTGAGACAAGATCGGCCGAGTACGCAGTGTGTACACCACGAGCGCGCGCTATTCTACAGTGTTTTTTACCAAAATCACCCAGTACGAGTCCAGAACGGGAATAAATGTGAGTGCCCACTATCCTTATACATTAACTCACCCTATTGAGCCGAGCCCCTATATTTCTCGCCCGTAACATTGGTCCTTCGAGCCGGATGGTCTCTAGATGGTCTGTAATGTTAAATACAATGTTGTATCCTATGTTATAGGGCTTGTTTCTCTCTACAATTTCTTATTTCACAATGTACCGTTTGTGTCCAAGAAGGGATCATAGTTTCATAGTTGTCGATTTTCGAAAGAAATCAGTACATGTATATTATTTCGTATATTTTTCATTTTATTCATTTTATGGAAAGCACACTTCATTAAAAGCACTGTTGAATTAAATATCGTATTCTTAAATTACATAGGGTGTTCAAAATTCCACACCAAACTTTTTAAAATATAAAATAATTTTTCTTCGTTTTTTGCGGACTTTGTTTCTTTTTAAATGTACTGGTATATAAATGTCCGATAGTGTTTTAGTTCTTAAAAATTTTGCATCCATGTAATTACTTTACAAAAAATATAGTATTCTCAAAGTAATTTTCTTAGAGAAAACAAGACATGAAGAGAATAACGTTAAGATACCGAGTAAAGATGTTTACGGTTAATTATATTTTTTAATTAGCCCTTAAGATAATCCAGAGAAAATATTTTCGTATTTACTTCTTCACTAATTAAACTGTTTAAATAAAAAAAGAAAACTACACCAAAGAACAACTCGGCAAACGTTTCTTAATCAGAGCAATTAGTGGAGATTTTGAGTTTTTCTTATATATCTTATTTTTTCTTTCAGTTAGCAAAATATGATCCTTTAAAATAAATTATAATAAACAATATTTGGTGATTAAAAAATTTGCATAATGCTGGTTTGTGTGTGACATATATAATGTAATCAAAAAGTACTATCAAATATCTTTTGTAAAATGACCGATAAAACTTTTCTTCATGGAAAATGACAATTTTATTATTTATTCATAATAAATAATATAGAGGGTGTTTCAAAAAACATGTGCCATTTCCCCGTGCGGAGATTCCTCACGTAAAAATAAGATTTATTTAATCTTAATGTAATAAATAATTTTACAGATCTATTGGGAACACCCGGTATAAACATATCTGTTAAAGTATAAAAAACACAACACAGAAACCTGACTCATCTTCCTGATCATTAATGTCCATCGTCGACCCTTTTAAAAATTTAAAGAACTGCGATTTTTTTTAATATAAAATTTCATAAACTTTCTACTCGGTATAGTCAAACAAATAGTGATTTATTAACTTAAAAGTCCCAATAAATTATAAAAATATACGTACTATACGGAATAATGCACTGGAAACTTTTTAATATTTTCTATTTTAAAAACGAAACAAATTGCCATGGCTTAAGGAAAAGCTCGCTAATAAAAATTTACAGTTCATATATTTCAAAATGTTTACAGTTTAATCAGGAGTATCTGTCTATGTTTATGCGTCTGAAATTTGTTTATCATTAATAAATGTTTCGGTGTGTTATGGATATTAATCATTATAACGTACTAAAATGTTTTATAACGGTTAACGATAAGAGGTTCCATAGCACATATACGTAAATATGTATAGTTTGTAATTATACATTTATGTGTAATACAGCTGGTTGGTAGAATGATAAATTATGAGTTGCCTATTTTTAAAAATCGTTCACTCTGTTAAAAAGTTATATTGAAATACTAATTATCATAAATGCTAATGGGAATAGCAGTAGATGCAACAGCGACAATGTATTGAGATGAACCGCCTATTAATTTTAAGACACTCTGTATACATAAATAATTCCTGATTTGCAAACTAGGGAGAGCAAAATCAGATAACGAAAAAAGATGATAGGTGTTAGGTAATAGATTTTAGATTACAGCTCGAGACGCATTGATATTATTTTGGTTATTGAGACAAAAGAATGTTATTAAAGGTAAAGTAAATGCTTCCTCATTATATTATTTAACCAGTGTTAACTATTAGCATATACAGTGTGTCCCAGAAATAAGTGCAAGTATTTTAACTGGTAGCCACTACAGTTCAACCCCAGAAACACGCCTATGAAAAGTTAGCTTGGAAATGACGATCGAGGACATACTGATTTTTTAACAAAATGTCGCAATATGACATGGCCAGATATATTGTTATAGGCTACTGTTTAAAAGTAAAGTAAAGTAAAGTAAAGATTTCAGTTAACGTCTCCTTTTTGCTGCCAGGGCTAATCTGGAGGGGGCCTACTTTGTTTACGCGGAATCCGAACCGCGGTCCTCGGCCATATCATGCTCAATGGCCTACCGACTTGGCAAGTGTCTAAATCGACTCTTACTCACGAGATATCCGATCTCATCCGGCCTCGAACCGGCGTGAATGAGCAGTGTGTGTCAAAAGATTTTACACTTTTGCCTTGGACAACAGAGCACGATACAGAGTTTCGAACCGGTCACCCGTCCATCCACTAGTATTGCCTTACGTCGCTTAACTTCGGTGTTCTAATGGGAACCGGTGTTTCGACGTAGCTGGGTTGCCACTACAGTTTAAAAAACCAGAAAAAATTTACGCTTTAAAACTAAATCTTAAATAACTTAAAAACAATTTATTTTAGGTATAGGAACATGAATAATCGAAAAGTAACGAATTAAAAAAACTTTTCACTAGTGATAAAAAAAGGTTTCCATTTGAAAAAAAATATTATTGATATTACACAGACATAGACAGTTTTCTTAACTTGGTATAATAATATATTTATTGATTTGCTGTCAAATATTTATTGTGCTGTGAATCTGGCTTTCACAGATAGCGATTTTGTGGATTCTTTTGAAGCGTTCAATTTGGGCTAAGTGGCGAATAAAGAGATAAAAGAATAGAACGGTTTTTTTTCACGCTATCCAATAAACGAAATACGAGTGGCTTTAGTATTTCCAATTATCCTAAAAACACTCGAATTTCCTGGTTGTTCCTTTAACACCATACTTGTATATTTTATGTGGCGTATAAATCTTCACACCAGACAATAACTTTTTTTAAGATATTTTACGATTTTCACAAAAAACCAGAAAGGATACAAGGAGGGCGAAAACTACCCTGAACCCCATATAAATTCTAGCAGAAATATGTACTGCAACTTTAACGACGACTTATTTTTTTTTGGTAAAAATTTATTATATACTCAGTTTCAAAAAAAAAACGCATGGGAAATATTTTTGGTTAAGTTGAAAATGTCAATTTTTTAATTTTTAGCCATATTTCCTTGATTTATTAGCAAACTGTATATAAATATATGAACTTTAATTCGTAAACTCAGTTTATTATAAACTTTAGTATTTGGCTCATTATACAGGGTTAATCGAAGAGAGTTGTTTTTAACTCTCTCTTTAAAACACCTTGTGCAATAATTTTGTGAGCAAATTTTCCTGAAATATTATTTTTCGATCAGAACCATGTCTCCTGAATATTTTGTTTTTGACTCATGACAAAACATGCCTTCGTTAATTTTTAATAAGAGCTTTTAATAATAAAGTTTTTTTAATTAAGAGCAAAATGAACTTGCCACAAATATTTTGCAATTTTTTACAATTATCGTTACTTTTTGATGTTATTCTTCATAATGACGAGGTAGCTTTGGTGATTATTGTTGCGTACGATTGAAGATGGCCGAAATTGTAAATATTCGGTTGGTCCTTGAAGAAGACTGGGAAAACATAACGCAATATATTTGCAGCCTCATTAACAGTGTGGACCGATGTCTACAGACAGTTATAGCGTCCGGGGAAGGCAATACAAAGTATTAGAGTATGTTTTTCAAGTTTTCTGATTGTTTGTACACTTAGTTATTACAGTCACTTTTTTTTAATATCTCTAGTTCTGTTAGTGTTACTAATCTTTCTTAAAATCAAACTTGTATTGTTACTTTTTAACGTTTTTTAAATTTTAATATAGAATTCTAATCAGTGTCGATATGATATTAAGACAACAACCACTAAAGCCACCTCGTGATATTAATAAATAACATTATAAAGTAATGATAGTTGAAAAAATTGCAAATTGTTGGTTGCAAGTTCATTTCGCTCTTAAAAAATTAACCAAGGCATGTATTGACATAAGGAAAAAAACAAAATGCCCAGGAGACATGGTTATGATCGAAAAATAATGTTTTAGAAAAAGTTACTCACAAAATTATTGAACAGGGTGTGTTTTAAAGTTGTCAATTCAATTAACTTTGTATAATAAGCCCAATACAAAAAAATTGGCGCGTATGGAAGGCACGTATAGCCGCCCATACTAAAATATGGCAATAAAAAGTTGATAGACAGTTCTTTTAGTTTCAAAGTA